GGCTAGAAGGGCTGGAGAATTAGATGTAGCCAAGATTATCTTGGGTGGGGGTTGGGAATGTGCAGAGGGGCTGGCAGGGATCTCGATGGAACATGTTGCCCTGTGGAGGGCCTTGAATCTACCACGGGACTGCAGCATGTCTTGAGGGCACCGGGAGCCACTGGAGAATCCTAAGCAGGGTAGGTGCCTGACAATCCTCGTGCTTCGCCAGGAGAGGGAAACTGGGAGGCATTGCCAGATGCAGGGACCAGGGCAGAGGAGAGTGCGGAGGCCGAGGGGGTCAGGTGGCATCTCCAGCCTTCTTCCGGGCTGCGGCTGCGCTGAGAGCTGCTTCCTGGAGGAGGAGAGATCAGTAGGGCCTGGGCCCCTAGGCCAGCATGTGGCTGCCCGGCCAGGAAGCTGCTACCAGAGGAGCATGGCCAGCTCCCTGTGGCTACAAATGTCAGCTCAGCGGGGGAGCTGGGGTCCAGCCAAGACCCTAGAAGGGTCCAAAGGGGGCTCCACCAGGCCAGGCTGGGGAGGAGGGCTGCCTGGGGTGGTCTCCCATAGCCATGACTAGGAGGCAGACGGGGGCTCTGCCCAAGAGGCCAGGGCTACAAAGATGCTCTAAGACTGGACTGTGGTGGCAAGTGCAGGGGGCGAGGCCTCAGGGCAGAGCACCAGTGCTTCTCTCTGCTGCAGGGCACCAGGCCTCACCAGGGATGTGGACATGGGGGCTGGACTCCCAGCTGCAGACCTGCTGCGAGGTGCCTCTGAGCAGGACTTCTTCTGAAGCAGGACTAACGGGAGTCTGGAGGCGATGGGAGAAGCCTGTTCGGAGTCCCCAGGACAAAGCGGGCCCCTAGTGAGGGTGACCTGCTGGCTAGCTGGGACCCCCCAGTTCTCTCTGTGTCAAGTGGGCATGCTTGCTTTTCCCTCTTGAAGTATGGGGAGGATTAAATGATGGAGAATGTGTAGATGGTTCCAAAACCCAATGAGTACGGCTGTCGTCAATACGCAGAGGCCTCTCCATAAACCAGGGTTAAAGAGCTCTGCGGAGTTTTGCAGACTGTGAGGAAGCCACGTGCTTTCCCAGCATGCATCCTTTGTGTTTCTCTGGGTGTTTGTCTCCAATTAGAATGATCAATTACACACTTGCCAGGTATTTCAACTATGAGCTAGTTGGGAAGATTAAAACCGGATGTTGACACAGCAAAAGCAGGTGCTTAGCTCGTGTGATAAGGTAGCAAAAACCAGAGTGAGAATGCAACGCTTTCGGGAAAACTGAACAGGGGACTCAGTATCTATCACCAAACTGCGGCCAGCGTGGTGAGGTGACAGGAACAGCCTTTCTGACTAGCTTGGAGGTTAAAAAGACTTGCGGAGTGATTGGGTCATGAGAAGCACATGGTTTATTTCAGTAAACCTTCTTTTACATAAACAAGTTTTAGTCTAAAGAAAGATTTCACATTAAGGGAAAGCAGAATTACAGATTGACTCGGCACTTCATTTACATGTCTTTAAAAAGTGGTTAATAAAAATAGTCCCCTTTGTAAGGGGCTATTGTAAGAAAATGATGGTAAGAAAAACCCCATCGTAATTGTAAGATGATTGTAAGAAAAACCCCATAGTAAATACAAAACCATAGAAGCTCTTTTTGTAAATCCTCCTCCAATGTCTGGGTTTGGGGAACCTTGCTTCTCTGTCAGTCATGGCGGAATGCCAGCCTCTCTGAGAAGAAAACACCAACGCCCATGCTTAGCAAGCCCCAAGACCCGCTTCTAAAACCTGCACCCTCGTTGGCCTTGGAGTATAGCCTGGAGCAGGTCACCTGGCCCCTTGGGAGGACCCAGAAGGCAGGACCCTGACTGACGTGTCTCCGCATCCCTGACTTACAGGCACTCAGTTAATGTGAGGTGAGGTGCCTTCCAGACTCCTTTTCAAGAGACTCATTACAAGTGGACTAGTGCTGTCCAAAAGAAATAGAATCCGTTGAAATCCTGTCATTTGCAACAACATGGGTGGAACTGGAGGTTAATACGTTAAGTGAAATAAGCCAGGCGCAGAAAGACAAATTTTGCATGTTCTCACTCATATGTGGGAGCTAAAAATGAAAACAACTGAACGCACGGAGACAGAGAGTAGAAGGATGGTTACCGGAGGCTGGGAAGGGTTGCAGGACGGGGATGGTTAATGGATGCAAAAATATCTTTAGAATAAATAAGGTCTCGTATTTGATAGCACAACAGGGTGAAGACAGTCAACAATAATTTACTGTATATTTAAAAACAGCTAAAAGAGTGGAACTGGAATGTTACTAACACAAAGAAATGATGTGTGCTTGAGGTGACGGACACCCCAATTGCCCTCATGCGGTCATTATGTGTCACATGCCTGTGTCACATATACATATATAAGTACAGGTACTCATAATGATCAGAAATAAAATTGTTTTAAAAAAATAGAATTCAAGCCACAGATGTAATTTTAGAAACCACATTTTAAAAAGTAAAAAGAGGCCAGGCCCGGTGGCTCATACCTATAATCCCAGCACTTTGGGAGGCCAAGGCAGGCAGGTCACTTGAGCTCAGGAGTTCGTGACCAGCCTGGCCAACAAGGTGAAACCCCATCTGTACTAAAAACACAAAAATTAGCTGGGTGTGGTGGTGGGCACCTGTAGTCCCAGCTACTTGGGAGGCTGAGGCAAGAGAATCACTTGAACCTGGGAGGCAGAGATGGCAGTGAGCCAAGATCGCGCCACTGCACTCCAGCCTGGGCGACAGAGTGTGACTCCGTCTCAAAAAAAAAGAAGCTGGTGAAATTAATTTTCCTATGATATTTTACTAATCACTGTATTGAAAGTATTATCATGTCAACATGTGATCAATCTATAAATGAATAACCAGGTATTTTCTATTCTTTTTCCTGCCAAGTCCTTGACATCGTGTGTATTTCACACCCACAGCACAGCTCCATTGGGACACACCCTGTGTGGCTGATTTCCCGTGTAGGCAGCACAGGACTAGAGTAATCCAGAGCCCTGTGCCCAGAGGCTATTCCATCAGGGTGGGGGGTGGAGCTGTGGTGACTGGGAGCAGGAGGGTGCCAAGCCTGTGGCAGTGGGGATGGGAGAGGGAGCAAAGGGCAGCACCAGGCCCTGGCACTCAGACCAGGGGGTTGAAGAGGAAAGCAGAGTGGAGAGACCCCTGCCATCTCCCAAGCTCTGGGAGGGCAGGACCGTGAGCGTGAGTCCACAGGGAGGCACCGGGGCTGTGAGGGCCTCACCTGCACCCTGCACCTGGCTGGGTGGGGCTCCTTTCCTGGACCTGGCCCCTGGCCCCGGGGCCTTGCTGCTTTTCTTTGCTTTCTGGAGCCTGATGCAGGTCCTGGCCGCTGCTGAATGAACATATGGCTCTGCTGAGGTTCATGCAGCAACAACACAATAGCAGGACACATTTGAGTTCATTTGCTCACTCGTTTCTTGAAACAATGCTTTGAATACAGACGATGCACTGAGCCCAGACTTCCCAGCGATGGGCATGTGGGGGGCAGGGGAGTCGAGTGCAAAGCGAAGGTGAATGGGCCAGGCTTCCCCTCAGGCTGGGGGAGGGGAGGCATGCCTGCCTCTCCTGGTGGTGGCTGGAAATCCTCGGTGTCCCTTGGTTTGTGCATGTTCCCAATTTCGGCCTTCGTCTCCCCTGTGTGTGCCTCTGGCTGGCTTCTCCTCTTATAAGGAGCCATTGGATCTGAGGCCCACCCTATTCCAGGATGACCTCATCTTCACTCAGCTCATTACATCACAGAGACCTTATTTCCAAATAAGGTCGCATTCGGGGTTTCTGGGTAGACTTGGACATTGGGGCACTTCACTCCCTTCCAGCTTCCGAGGGCCCTCCCAGCCCCCAACTCCATCCCCAGGTTATCCCACAGGTGCCTGTCATTCGGCTCCTGCCTGTTTAATCATGTCTCAGTGTTGGCTTCCCAAGGCGCTGGGCTGATGCAGGGATGTAGTGCGGTCAGGCCTGAGAGGCAGGGGCTCATCTTCGGTGGGGACGGGGAAGACTGGACCAGTGCCCAGCATCCAGCAGTGGCATGAGGAGGCCGGGCTGACCCAGGTGTCTGGCTCCGTCAGCCAGGGTGGCAGCTGTGGTTGCTGAGGTGTGACCTCTTTCTGCGGGGAGCAGGTTTTGGGAAGGAGATGGGTCTGGGCTTAGGATGCTGAGCCCCAGGAGGGGGTGAAGTCCTCAGGGCTCAGGGGTCACTGTGGGAGGTGGTCTGGCCCCTGACCTTATTGTCCCCCGCCACACTGCTGGCTGGCATAGAGATGTGGTTCCCCAATCTAGCACTGGGGTAGGGGACAGCATGAAGCCGAGGGGGTGCCCTGGCCCCAGCTTACAGGCATGGCCCAGGAGGGTGGGGTGTTCACTGGGAAGGCGCTAGTTCCACTGTCAATAGAATCTGTGCTGACGGTGCTGACCTGAGACCCCAGGACGACCAGTCAGTCCAGTGGGCAAGGTGGGCAGGAGAGGAGCAGAGGAGGGGTGAGGGCCGTGGGGGACAGCTGGAGGTAGAGGCTGAGCAGCGGGGTTTGGGAGGAGAGCTGCTGAGCCACCTGCAGGTTCCTGGGACCCTCTCTTCTGGGGGAGTTGGAGCGAGTGGAAGAAGGTGGGAATGGGAAGTGGAGGAGCCTGTGGCATCCCCACCTGCAGGGGAGAAGGTTCCCAGCCTGGGTGTCAGTGCAGTCACCAGTGTGGGCCCAGAGAACACGGGCTCCTCACCCCTCTCCTCTGGGTCTGATTCCCTAGTGGGAGTGGGAGAGCTCCTGAAACAAACTGCGGCCCGGAGCCCACAGGTGCGAAAACCTGGGGCCCAAGGCCTTTGCTGTTTTTAAACAAATCCACCCTTAGCCAACTCTCCCCACCAGGCTTTTCCACATGATTTGATGGGATGGGGCCTGCCGCCTCCTCCCTCTGCCTGGGGAAGGGTTCCTAGATGCGTGGGGGAGGACGTGCGGCTCCTTCCTTTTCCTGGTGGCGCCATGAAGATCTGTGTGTGTACTTCTTGGAAAGATTCCAGGTGCTTGAAAAGGACGTCTCAGTGGGTCAAGGGTGAGTGGGGACTCAGAGGTGACGCATGTTCAGGAGAGCCCCCTTTGCCTGGCACCTCCTACCACGGAGCCACAGACTGTGCTATCTCCCTCTCTCTGTCTCCCTCTCTCTCCCCAACTCTTTCCTTCTTCCTATCTCCCCCTCCCTCTCTGTCTGTCCCTCTTTCTCTCTTTCACACACACACACACACATCCCTGGGTGATGGCTGTCGGTGGCTCTGCCCATGGTCGGATGGGAGAGGAGTGACAGGGCTGGGTGGTGGCTGGCCTCCAGGCCTCTGCCCTGCCTTTACCTGGGGGCCTGCTGCCTTTGAGTTCAGCCTGAGCCAGGCCCAGGGGTCAGGGAGGTGCCTGTGGTCAAGGCCTGTGGTGCCTGGTTGGCCCCCAACCTCACCACCTGCTAGCTGGGCCAGCACTTCCAGGAGGTCATGCCCTGCCCTGTGGGGTGGGTGGCAGACACCCGTCCTGGGCTGTTGGGAAAAAGTATGCCCTGCTGGGGACTGGCCTGCACGGGCCCCTGGAGGCTGGGGGATTTGGGAGCCCTCAGAAGGTGTGGCCCCTGCTCTTGGGAAGGCATTTTTCCTGCCCAAGGCAGAGGGGATGTGGCATTTGCAGCCTGGCCCTGTGGGCTCTGTCTGAGTTCCTGAGCCCCATCTGGGCATTGGATGACCGGGAGCCCCTGCGTCCTCTCCAAGCCTCCTAGCTACACACTGCACTCAGGACCCAGCAGAAGCCTCTGCCTGGGTGCAGTGAGACAGGGAAGCCACCGGTCTGCCCCGGCATCTACGCCACTGGGGCCCCACTGGGGTGTTCACAAAGCGCTGTGAGAACGAATTGGAGGAAGCGGCTTTGAACTTTCGCTGGGCCCAGAGGAGTTAGAGTTGACTGAGTTTGGCCAGACGGTTTTAAATCCCTTCTAATTATAAGATTCCAGCATGGGAGGTCTTGTTGCCCGCCAAGCAAACTTTATTTATTTATTTATGTATGTATGTATGTATGTATTTATTTATTTAATTTATTTTTTGAGGCAGAGTCTTGCTCTGTCACCAGGCTGGAGTGCAGTGGCACGATCTTGGCTCATTGCAACCTCTGCCTCCCGGGTTCAAATGGTTCCCCTTCCTCAGTCTCCTGAGTAGCTGGGACTACAGGCACGGGCCACCTCACCCGGCTAATTTTTTTCTGTAGTTTAGTAGAGACGGGGTTTCACCATGTTGGCCAGGATGGTGTCCATCTCCTGACCTCATGATCCGCCCGCTCCCAAAGTGCTGGGATGACAGGCGTGAGCCACCGTGCCTGGCCCCAAGCAAACTTTAGAACCACCTGCAGCAGGGGCAACGGGGTAGGGTGGGCAGGACCTATTTGGGGGACAGGAGTGGAAGTCCAGCCTGGGAAGGCTCTGGCCCCATGTTGAGAAGCAGTTCCTCCCCGGAGTGCCTGGCGCCTGGACTTTGGCGTTGGACCTTCCCAGGCGTACACCTCTGCTCCCCCGCTCACCACTGCATGCTCCTGGCCATGTGGCTGACCTGGCTGAGCCTCAGGTGCCTGATATGTGAAATGGGGTGATAGGGTTTATAGGGTTGCTGAGAAGATCGGTAAGAGAATGTGCATACATGCGGAACGCCTCCAGCTTCAGGTGACCGGCAGCCATCGTCATCACCACTAGGGTGGCCCCTTGCCATGTCTGCCCTTGCCCTGCCTTGCAGAGAACCAGTGGGTCTTGACCGGGGGAAAGCCTGAGGCTGGGGGAGCAGGGGGTGCCTGGCAGTCACTGAGCGCCACCCAACAGCAGGCCCTGCCCATCATCCTGTTCTGCACGACAGTCCCTTGAGGTGTGCGCGGCGACCTCCCTACCCTACAGCCAGGGAAGGGTGGAGCGGGGCTTGCACCCAGGCCTTTCTGCCTCCAGTGACAGTGCCCTTCCCACAAGGACCTCATGAGAAGTGCCCATGTGTGGGGGCTTGGCGGTGGCTCTGGAGTGGGGACAAGGGAGGGGTCAGGTTGGTTCATAGTTGGAGGCCCAAGAGCAGGGCTGTGGAGAGGCATGAAGGACACGGGTTTGCCCCCCACATGGTCATGGTCAGGAGCAACATGAGGAGGCTCTGAGAGGTGTGGGGGGCAGCACAGCCTGGATGGAGGAAGTAGGGGGGCAGGTGAGAGAGGGCTTCCTGGAGGAGTTGGTAACTGAGTCGATGAAAGGCAAGTTGGAGTTGGCCACGGAGGACGAGGGGGCAGGGCATCCAGGGCAGCAGGCCGCAGGTGCAGAGTGCCTTTCAATAACCTTGGGAGGTCCGAGCTTCCCTCCTGGGCCCTGGGTGAGTGGCGTTCATACCTAACTTCCCCCTTTCTGCCTATTTACTGTCAGTTGTCTATTTTTGTTTGCCTTGATTCCCAGTCCGGATGGGTTAAGATAGTTCTCACACCTGTCCCCTTCCTCCCTGACCAAGCACATAGCGGCAGCCAGACCACAGCTTCCTGTCTTTCTTCATACCCAGGAGGAAGAGAATGTCGCAAGTGAGTGTGGCTGCTCGGCCGTGCAGCTCTGAGCTGTCAGCAGGAGCAACAGGTTCCCGACATCCTTCCTCAGCCCTGGCTTCCTAGAATTTCCTTTTTTTGTTAGACTGAGTCTCGCTCTGTTGCCCAGGCTGGAGTGCAGAGGTATAGTCTTGGCTCACTGCAACCTCTGCCTCCCGGGTTCAAGTGATTCTCCTGCCTCAGCCTCCTGAGTAGCTGGGATTACAGGCGTCTGCCACCACGCCTGGCTAGTTTTTGTATTTTTAGTAGAGATGGGGTTTTACCATGTTGGCCATGTTGGTCTTGAACTCCTGACCTCAGGTGATCCGCCTGCCTCAGGCTCCCAAAGTGCTGGATTACAGGCATGAGCCAACATAGGGGCTATTCAGAGCAGGCACTGCCGAGAGTGGAAGGCCCTTCTCACCGTCAGGCCTCCAGGCTGTGGGGCAACAAAGGAAGCCAGGGAACACGCCCCTTTCCCATCTTTTTATCATTCTTCCTCAGTCCGGCATTTTCTAGATTTGGGCAGTTTGCTTGGGGATTGGAGTCTAAGACAGTTGCTTGATATCTGCAGTTGGGCAATTGTTTTAGACACAGTAGAATTCCAAAAAGAGATGAGACCACTGATTTTTTTTTTCCTGATAAAATATTTCATATTTACAAAGAATATATCTAATCACTATAACATCAACAGCTCTGTCCCACCAGCTGAAGGAACAGGGTGCCACCAAGATGGCCCCAGGGACCCCCAGGGCGTACAGCACCCTGCACGTGGTGTGCACCCTGCGGTGATCCTCTGTGTGGTTTTCTTACTTACCTGTGCTTTGTCTGCTCCTGGACTTTGTGAAGTGGTATCACAGTGTGTGCTGTACTCCATGTGGGGTTAGCGAATCTCTGCTGACTGGCAGCCCATTGCATAGGTTGGCCATGATCAGTGGGCAGTGGAATTTAACCTTTATGCTTTTATTCGTCAAATACTCATGGTACTTCTGTCACTTTGTGTGTCAGCCACAGGGCCAGGTGATGGGAACATTTGTCCACAGGGTTCAGCAAGGGGCCCAGGGTTACCCAGCCTGTAGGTGCTGAGCCAGGTCCAGGTCAGTGCAGGTCTGAACTCACCACGTGTGTTCAGCCCCACTGTGTGCCGGCACCGGTAGGCACCACGGGAACCAGCACAGAGTAGGCGCGCAGTAAGTGCTTATGGAGGGGAGCCCAATGTTTTCCTCATTTAGGAGGAAGTGTTATTACTTTCGTTCACAAATGACAAAATACAGCATTAGCCCAGCAGCGGTGTCTGGCTGCACATCCGAGTCACCTGGGGGCACCGCTGGATCCTCTGGGCTGCCCACACCCCAGCTCCCTAGATGTTCTGAGCGGTTGAGGGCAGGGCCTGGCCATAGGGGTTTGTCCAAACTTTCCGCATGGGTCTTACTGGTGGCCAGTGTTGAGAGCTGCCATTGCACCCTCCAAAGCCCTGCGAGACTGAGCTCAGAACTTGCACTGTCTACATGAACTCAGCAGGTAGAGGTTGCACCACCTAACGTGAGCCCAGACAGTTACGTGTTTGACAACACGTGTCTTCCTCTTAGTTATTCATATTTTATTTTATTTTATTTTATTTTATTTTATTTTATTTTATTTTATTTATTTATTTATTTTTGAGACGGAGTCTCGTTCTGTCGCCCAGGCTGGAGTGCAGTGGCCGGACCTTGGCTCACTGGCCGGGCATGCAGAAACCTGCCATGCACTGGGCACTGCTTCAGGGACTGGGCAGCACAACAAGCATGAAACAGACACTTCTCGGCAGCATCCAAGCATTGGTGCGGCGGCCTCTGCACACACAGTGCTGTTCCCGCTGCTGAGCCTGCCTTGCCCTCTATGCCTTTGTTCCCCCAGAAAATGCCTCTTCCCCTTTCATGGTTGATTTTCTGCGTTCTCCTCTTACCTGAATCTCCCGCTGGGTCAGGGGTCCTACTTCTCCATTTCCAGGGCAACCTCTGCTTCCCTCTCTCCACTGGACACACATTTTCCGCACTGTGAGCTCTTTGTCGAGTGGGGAGGTCTATAGTTTTAGTTTATTCTTCTGGGTTCTTAGCCATTATCATAGGACCAAGCATATAGCAGGTGGTCAATAAACATCTCAAAAGAAACGAGGAAACCAAAGTTCGGGAGGTTAAGGGACTTCCGAGGTCACAGGGCTAGTGAGAGCAGGGGTTGGATTTGGAAGTGTTTGCATGTGCCTTGCACTACGGCAGTAGAGTGTCCCCATCATGTTGCTGTTGGAGACAGCTGCTCACTCAGACTTGTGTTTTTCTTTGCTTACAGAGACGTGATTATGCTTTCCCAGAAAAGCTGAAGCTTAGCGTGTATCATTGCATGCAGATCCAGCTAACCCCACTTCAAAGTTTATGTGAGGAATACATAATCCAATTGTTTGAACTCCAGTTGTAACAAGGTAGAGTGCATCCAAATACTACACACGGGATTGTG